TGGTACAAAAGGAGGGACTGCTATTCTACTGCGTCGCGATTTGGATTTGAAATGGATTGATGAATGTTTTGATAACCGGGGCCGATGGGTGTGGATAAAAGGCACTATTGTTGGGGAATCTTGGGCAGTGATGTCCATATACGTGCCCTCTGAAAGGCGAGAACGCCTGTGTTCCTTAGCTGATTTGGGAGAGGCAATACCGGATGTCAAAAATCTAGTTCTAGTCGGCGACTGGAATACGGTTTTAAACCTGGGAATAAACACTATGAGGGTGAAACCAGTTTGCACAAACGCAAGGATTCTGATGTCCCTTCTGGAGAAGATGGGTCTGATTGATGCCTACCGAGTGACCCACCCCAAGGACTATGGATTCACTTGGCATCCCGTGAGTTGGAGGCCCACAACTGCTGGACCTGCCAACATAAACCAGGGAAGTCAGCGCAGAATCGATATGGTCTTTGTCAGAGCAGCGATATGGGAGTCACTCCTATCAGTGGAAGTGGAAACGCATCCTATGTTAGATCATTACCCACTGCTCGCTCGATTTGCACCAGGCCTGAGTTATGACAGAGAAAGGGGTTATTTCATATTAAATACAGAAAATCTAAAAGACCCGGGCATATCTCAGTGGGTCAGGGAGCAAAACGAGGTGTGGCAGAACACTAAAGAATTGTTTCCAACAAAAGGGGAGTGGCTTTCTTCGGGCCTGAGGATACTATCAAAAGGGTTGGCAGTGCGTTCCGTAATGAAAGCATACCAGAGGAACAAAGAAGAACGCATCTGCAGACAAAAGATAGAGGAGGCGGAACATGAAGTAGGCAAACATTTGGTCTCAGACGTCTTTTGGACCAGGGAAAGAACACGATGGTTACTGAAATGGGAGGAAATCCAAATCAGAAAGCAGAAAGTATGGCAGGATCGTTGCAAGGTTCAGGGAATGTCAAAATTAGATAATATCATGGTTACCAACCAGACGCTGGGATCCCGATCCAGATTGTCCAGTGTCCAATGCCCGGGTCTGGTGTCCTGTTCGGAGGGTCCGGTTGGACCCCAATTTCGAAAACTTCGAATTTCTTTTTTGGGGTTCCCAGGCCGTTTACCTGGGCCTGGGGTACCCCGGAAAAATAATGCTGATGTTTTTTGAGAACCGGTACCCCAACCGGACAAGCCCTGAAAGGGACCTCTGTGTGATAACATTGGCACACAAGTTCACTGCTTTGCTCTTATTTGGATGGACTCTTGGTGCATTTGAGCTCTTTTCTTGGTACATGACTATCTGGACTTCTGCGTGATTTTGCAACTTGATTTTCTGTCTATCACTCTCACTCATATTCCTTGCATTTTTGTGACATGGGAGGAGGGTCTGGCCGATGGGAGGGGCGACCAGGGATGTGAGGGCAATGAAGGATGGGATGACGCGAGACCGAGATGAGCGACATTGGATACTGTGTTGGTGGGGCTTGAGGGCGATGACATTGGCACACAAGTTCACTGCTTTTCTCTTATTTGGATGGAATCTTGGTGCATTCGAGCTTTGTGCTTGATGTTTTTTTTTTTTTTTTTTTTTTTTTTTTTCCTGATATCCGGACAACCGGACACTGACATAGCAAACCGGACTGTCCGGTTCCAGATGCCTGGATGTCCGGTTTGATGTCCGGTTAACCGGATGTCCGGCTTGATCCAGACACAGGTCCGGTGTCCTTGTCCGGTGTCCGTGTCCGGTTGTCCGGTTGTCCGGGTCCGGGGCAACCATGGATAATATGACTAAAGAAATGTTTGCATTAGTAAAACGACATACCATACAACACCAGAAGATGAAAGAACTCGCGCATCCGTTCGACCAAAATCTTCGTAAAAGTTCAGAAACAATCCAGATGTGTGACTTTGCTGTCACTTACTTCAGTGACATTCTGACTTCCCGCAGAACCCCCGAGGAGGCAGATATGGACCTATCACTACAGTCACCTTTTTGGGAGAGTACTACAGCACACATCTCATGGGAGGGTAGACTTGCGTTAGACAGACCCATCACCATCGAAGAACTTGCACATGCGGCCAGTCAAATGGCCAAAGGCAAGGCTTCGGGGGAGGATGGTTTACCGATAGAGTTCGTCCTGCACTTATGGGACCTCTTTGGCAACGACCTTGTCCAGATATACAACGAAGAACTGATTGGAGTGAGACTTCCACCAAGTATGACCAAAGGGATCGTTGCACTACTATACAAGAAAGGAGACAAAAGCAACATCCGAAATTGGTGCCCGATTTCCCTTCTAAACACGGTGTAAAAACTTTTGGCAAAATCGCTGGCGATCAAATTGGCAACACACCTTCCTTTGCTGGTGGGCGTGGACCAGGGTGCGTTTGTTAAAGGCAGGTCAATTGTAGATAATATAGTCACAGTGATTGAGTCAATGGAGATTATCACGGAAGAGGCCTTGGATGTGTCGGTCCTACTTCTTGATCTGGAAAAAGCCTATGATAGGTTCTGTTGGGCCTTTGTCCTAACCACCCTTAGGCATATGGGCCTCGGTCCTAATTTATGCGCATGGGTAAAAGTGATGTACTTCCATGTGACCGCTTCGGTGATGATTCATGGTCGGATTTCAACACCATTTCCGTTGACTTGATCTCTTCGACAAGGATGCCCTTTAGCACCTTTGTTGTTTGTGCTGCAAGTGGATGTGCTGCTTAACAATGTAAGGTGTAACCCCTACATTGTCGAATTGCGAATTCGTCATCAGTTGCAATTCAAAGGGAGTGCATTCGCGGATGATCTCACCATAGTGTCTAGAAGCACAGTTAGCTCCTTATCAGCGGTACGGGAAACGCTGGCAGAATATTGCGATCTATGCGAGGATCAAGTTAATTGGCCAAAGTCTGTGATCTTCTTGCCAGATCAATATGAGATTTGTGTTGATTTTGGAATGAAAAGGATCCCTGTGGATTCGTCAGTAAGGTTCTTGGGAGTGCAATTTTCCCTGCAGAATTGTGTCGAGACGCAAGATAAGATTCTCCTTGCCAAGGTGGAGCAGAGACTTCTGAAGTGGAAAACAGTGTACGGTCTCTCCCTATTTGGTAGGGCGCTGGTAGTAAACGCATCAGTCTTCTCCCAGCTATGGTATACTGGGACAGCCAGGTCTCTCGGGAAAAGGAGTGCACAAGCCATCAGATCAGTGGCCGCAAAGTATATTTGGAAGTCGGAAGCAGAGGATGGACAGGGACATATGTCGAAATTGTCCTGGGATAAGGTCACAACTACCAAGGAAGAGGGGGGGTTGGCAGTATTGGACCCTGTGCGCCAGAACAAGGCCGTACTTTGCAAATGGCCTGCAAGGGCAATGATAGACATAGAGGAGCGCAGCTGGGTGCCGCTGGCAGAGTACACTTTAGCAAAGGACTGGGTTCTGAATAACGGTGAGGACGTGTGGCTATTGATGTCAACCTCAGCCCATCAGCGACGGAGATTGAAGTCTGTCTTTTGGCAAGGAGTGCTACAGGCCTGGCGCACGTTGGCACCAAGCCTTCTCCAAGCCCCACAGTCAAGAGATGAAGCCTCTGCTTGAAAATCGCTAGCTTAAAAACCATGAAGGTTTGATTTTTGCAATATCAGGAAGAGGCAGCTGTGGGAGGGCGTGGGTGGAGACAGGAGTGCTGAGATTTGAGGACCTATGGGATGACCTACATAAAACTTGGAAGAGCGGGATGGAACTGAACAATAAATTGGGGAGATTGTGGCATGTGGAAATAAGGAGAGAAGCTCTGATTCAGGCAGTACCGGAAGAATGGAAACAACTATTGAAAGAGGAAGTTGTGGAAGGGAAATGGTACCGCCCTGCGCTTAGCTTGGGAGGCGAGCTGCAGGTGTGCAGAACGGTGGCCCAAGGAAAGATGGAAGTGTGGGAGAGGCAAAAGGTAGAGGGGATTGCTCGCAACTCCTTAGTCTTTAAGGAGTGTGATTCACCGAACTTTGGTTTAATGGAGGAAGTCAGAGTCTTCATGCAATTTTCCGCAGCCGGAACTCCCCAACCGGTTTTGTACATGGATGGTACCCCAATCAGACGGATGCAATTAGATGTCGGCCTGTATGGTTGGCCGAAGTCAAGGGGCCAACCGGAAATCCACCAGTACTCCTCCAAACTCGGCATGTCAACACAACGGCTCAGTGGGAGCACATCTCGGAAGATATTAGAGGCTCTGCCTGAATCTCTCACAGGTTCGTCCTTATCCATCGAGTACTATAAAGACAAGTGGAAGATCTGTCGGGCGTTACCAAGCAAGAAAGCGTCGGCTGTGGTATGGTTGATAACCCATGCAGCTCCCCTAGATGCAATATCACTGTTTGCTAGGGGAATGGAGGTGGAGGTGAGGTGCCATCAGCAATCGGAAGATGCAGTACATTTGTGGGGCACCTGCCCTCTCTCCTTCCGCATCTGGAGATGGTGGGCGCACCATTGGAAGGCCCTGGGTGGACCAGAGGAAGTGGAATGGGACTTGGAGTGGGCAGTGACAGGGCAGCTCAAACAACCTGTCACTCGGTGGTTCTGTTTGCATTGTTCGGGTGACAACTAGGCCCCGGGTCCGCTGTAGGGCCAAAGGTCCGATCAGTACGAGTGATTTGTGTAGGCAGTGTGTTTTCCTTGAATGCCAGGTTGGGCTGGCTGCTGCGATGTGCTGTTTTTGTCCACAGTCAGGTTGGTCTGGCTGAGAAAGACCTGTTCCCACTCCGGGTAGATGTGAGGACCCCGGCCTCTTTAACGGTATTTGAATAAACCAGATGATGTTTCTAAAGAAAAAAATAATAAAAATGTTTTACACTGCTTCACTGTTGTTATTGGAAAGCTGGCAAGCTGCCTTTTTTTTTTAAAGGAAAAGCTGCACTTTGGAACATTGTGAGTTGTGAATTGTGAAAAAAAAAAAACAAAAAAAAAAAACAAAGAAGCTCCACTTGACTAAACTTCTTTTTTTTTTTTTGCGGTATGTGCTGTGTGCATGAACAGGTACCTTGACCCAGAGTACCATGAATCACAGCGGCTCACAGACAAGAGTGATGTATACAGTTTTGGCGTTGTGCTTCTTGAACTGCTGAGTGGAAAACGCGTGCAATCGAAAGACATTGGTGGTCAAACGCTTGGCCTTGTAGAGTGGGCGCGTCAACTGGTCGCCAAGGGGGATCTCGCAGAGTTCGTGGACCCTACTATTGGGCGCGATGGACCCGATCATCGAATGAAGACGTACGAAAAGTTTGCGACTGTGGCACTCGAATGTTGTGGTCAGCAACAACAGCGGCCACCAATCAGGCATGTTCTTCGAGATCTTGAGGTGATGTGGGATCGGGAAATAGGGTGAGAGGGTGGGATCGGGGTCGATTCCACACATGTTCTTTTCATCACCTCAACAACCCTGTAATCATGTGTTGCATGGCATTTCGTTTCGCCATGCGAAGGGGCAGAAAGCGGTAGTGCCAGTGAATGTATCGGACCTCGACCTGACTTGCAGGTCCGATACAGGCGCTATGAGGGTGGATGTCTTGAGAGTCGTCCACATGTTTCAGTGTGTGATGTGCATCATAGTTTGCTTGCTCTGTGTGTGTGTGTGTGTTCGTGCATGCTGAGGTTTTGCGCAATGCACATGCACATGGACATGCATGTATGCGTTTGTGTAGGGCTAGGAGGGGAGGAGGAGGGGGAGGGGGGGGGAGGGAGAAGCGGAAATGGGTTTGCAGACTGAGTGATGTCGTGTACTTTCACACATGCGTCATGATCCATGAGTAAACTTTCTGCAGTAAGAGGTGGTGTTGCATCTCCAGACATGCAGATGATTTGGCGACTTCTGCAAAGTTGCCTGTGGAGCACAAGCAACACAACTGTCATTATGATTGTAGTTGGAGTGATCACTGGACTGTCTGTTTGGTATGGGGATGTGGACATGCCCGCAGCAAGGGTTTTTCAAAGTGCAGACTGCATGTCGTGTCACACTGCCACTGTGTGCTCAACCCACTCTGACAGCACAGTGGCACACACACACACACACACACACACACACACACACACACACACACACACACACACACACACACACACACACACACGTGCACGCGTGCACGCGCATGGTGAAAGTCCGACACAGGCATGCCTTTATTTTTGTGATGTGTATAGCAAACACAACACCACACACACACAAACACACACACACATGCGCGCGCGCGCACACGCACAGTGAAA